AGTACGTCCTAGACTGGATCCTGAGACGTGGCGAGGACATTTGTGGGGAAATTGATGAAACTGGAATAGTTTAGTTGATGGTATTGTACTAATGTTAATTCTTAGTGTTAATCAAGGTTACCCTGGTTATGTAAGGTGTTAACATTAGGGAGAGCTAGGTGAACGCTATGTGGGTACCCTCTGGGTAATATCTTTACAACCTACTGTAAATCTAAAGTTATTTCAAAATAAAAAGTTTTTAAAAATTGTTTTAAATGCCTGGCTCTCATTCAAACCAAGTTAATCAGAATCTTGGGCATTCAGAGCTCTCCCGGTGATCCCGATGTGCAGGTAGAGTTGAGAACTATAGACCAGAGATTTCAACCGTGAGTGTGTACATCAGAATTCCCTGGAGGGCTTATTAAAACAGACTGGTGGGTCCCACCCCCAGAGTTTCTGCTTCAGCAGATCTGGAGTGGGGTCTGAGATCTGCATTTCTAACCAGCTCCTGGGTTACGCTGATGCTGCCTGTCCCAGGACCACACCTTGAGAACCACTGATCAGAACCTTGCAGCTCAAAGCATCATCCTCAGACGAGCAGCATCTGCATCCCCTGGGAGCTGGTTAGAAATGCTGAATCTCAGGCCCCACGCAGACCCACTGAGGCAGAATCTGTGTTTTAACATTAGCCTAGGTTACTTATGTATACAGGGAAGTTTGGAAAGCACTGCTCAGGAAGGAGGGATGAGGAAATGGGAGCTGAAATGTCAGGGGTCAGGGGGCTATTGATACCCATCACTTCGCCACTTCACCAGGCTGGACTTCCCTTTCCACACAGGAAAGAGAAAAACAGGAAGAAACACCAGAGGCTCTTTGCTATTGTTAAGCCAAAGGCAGAACTGGGCAGAAGGAGTGCTTTCTGTCCCTTGCAGTGCTGGCCAGGGGCACAGTGACCTGGCTAGAAGAGGAGCTAGCCGATGACGGGGGCTGAGGCAGCCTCCAGAGAAGTCAAGTAGACCGGGCCAGGAGGCACTGGCTGTAGGAACATGGACATCACAGCCCAAGGTTTAATATTTACTCTGCTGAGGGTCCCTCATCCTTCCTTTAGAAAAGGAGAGAGCAGCTTTGCAATAAGCTTTACTCCACGGGAGGGAGGAAGGAAAGGAGGTGAGAGCAGAGCCTTTCTGAACAAATGGGTTTTTACCAAAATATTTTCAGACTTAAGGCTTAGGAGACGGGGCCTCCCCAGTCCCCCTTGGCCAGTTACAAACAGCAGCGGCACCAGGTCGCCGGGCATTCAAGGCCTCTCACCCCCGATCCAGCCCAGCAAACATCACCCGCAGCAGGCCAGGCTGCCAGGAACTCTCTGAGACCCTGTTCATCCTGTCTATTCAGATCGTGCCCAGTCACCAGTTCCCAGCTCAGACCCTAGCTCCGCCTGGCCACACCCTGAGACTGCTGAAGCCCCAGTGTCCCTCGGCAAGGCTCCATCCCACCCGTCTCACATTTGCTTACACTGAGGGTAATTCCAAACCTCCAAAGCACTGCCCCTGAGGATTTGTGCCACTTGGAGCCACACTCATTTTCTGAGATGTCATCAGAAGTCCCTACAGCCGTGAAGTGGTGGAGGACGGGGGCACCTAGCAGCCCATGATGCTGAGAGTGACCATCCCTGATCCCGGGAGTGGGCTCAGAACACTGAGGAAATAAACCTGACAATCAAACAAGGCAGTGTTCCTAGCAGAGGGAGACTGGCGTGTGCAGCTTCTTTTTAAATACACAGGTTTCAACTCCCTTGAAAATAGTGAAGCATTCTGAGAGTCTAAATATTTGCGTGTTTATTGAGCACTTACTACAAACCAGGACATCCGCACTGTCTATGAGCTGGGTGCATACTTGAGAAGCCAAATGGGCCATCGAGTTGGAATTCTCCTCAGGTGGATGAGAAGAGGGAAGGGGAACTATAGCCATGTTGCCCAAATCAAAGAAGCCAACACCTAAATTGAGTAAGGATCCAAGGGTTAAAAGAGAAGGTGCTCTTCAAAGTAAGCTGGTGCTGACTTCCTGACACATTGCAACTGCTGGGAGCAGAGAGCCGCAGGATTTTACTGGAAGCACCAAACCCAAATCAATGTATGGAAGTTCCACAGGACAGAAGGGAGCAGGGCAAAGGTCCCACGTATAAACACGTGCACACTCTCTGATCTGCAGAACAGAGATCTTGAGATGGATCCACCAGAGATGGCTCCACCTGGCAGAGTAGAAGGCATAGACCAGTGGTCAGTCGATAAAGACACACCTCAGGCCAAGTACACAGGATGAGGAGACACCAGAGTGATTGTTATATAGTGAAGATGGGAGACGACCTCTCAATCCTTGGACTTTCTTAGTGATGGGAGTATCTTTGTTATTCATGGTGTGCCCCCTGGATCACACCTGAGCTTATGCTAAATGACTCAGGATGGGGTTGATAGCAGCCCCACCTTCTCCAGGGAGGGAAGGGGGGGCTGGAGATTGTGTTCAGTCATGTGGTCAATGATTCAATCAATTGTGCTCATATAATGAAACCCTGATAAAAACTCTGGACACTGAAGCTCAACGAACACATTTCTGTGCCAAGAGGTTCCTTTCACAGCAAGAACCCAGAAGCTCTGCATTCGGGATCCTCCCAGACCTCACCCTGTGTGTCTCTTCATTTGCCTGGTCACAAGTGTAGTGCTTTCCTGAGTTCTGTGAGTCATTCAGCAAATTATCAAATCTGAGGGGGTTGTGGGAACCCCCAAATTTGTAGTCAGCTGGTCAAAAGTGTAGATGGCCTAGGGACCCCCAAACCTGCAACTTGTGTCTGAAGTGAGGGCAGTCTTATGGGAACTATGTGCTTAAGGGAACAGAGTCTGTACTAGCTCTAGGTGGTCAGCATCAGAATCGCACTGCAGTATCACAGTGGTCCAGGTCCATCCTGTCTTAGGCCCAAGGAACATGCAGGACTCAGTCTGCACTTCCAGAACTTTTTGTCTCCTTTACCCATCCACTCCCCCACTTCCACTAAAAACCCAACTTTCTCTGAAGTCAGGGTGTTACAGTCACAATTCAGGCACATGTGACAGCTCACGGAGCAGGCGTAATCCACATCTCCAGCGCTGTGGAATAAAAAGCAAAGCATGGACCCTCATTCAGCAGCTGTGTGACTTCAAGCAAATTACTAAACTTCTCTGAGCCTCAGTTCCCATCTCTGTGAGATGAGGCTAATGACCCCTTGCCCTCATAGAGCTGATGAGACAAATCAATGATGTAACTTATTTACAAAGAACCTAGCATGTTCTCTCACACATGGAAGGCAATCAGTAAACACTGACCCCTCCTATTTTCAGACTGCTCTGTATCCCAAACTCTCCCAGCCTCTCAGCTCTCTCTGGATAACTGTTCTGGCAACATGCTGATGTTTTAGATCCCAAGGCAGCAGGAAGCCAACCATTAAACCAAAAGTGAAAAGCAAGTAACCATTACCTTGAACAAAAAGGACATTTATATTTACTTCAGTGGCTATAAAAGACACCATAAAATGTAATATGCAGCATGCATCCTCATGACTCATAACAGATCTTGCAAATTATTCTCTCAGGTCTCTGGGTGCATCCAACTGGTCACTAAGAACAATTAATTCTTTCAGGAAATAAAGGGATTGCGAATCATCTCTGGGCAGTGAAAAATCTGCTTCTTGTATTATGAATAAAGAGAACAGAAAATGAGACTTAAATTTAGGGTTTTTTCTGCCCTCATGAATGCAGTGAAGTAAGAGCGGAGAGACTTAAACACAATTACTCTCTGTGAGCCTGGGTGCTCAGTGAGAGCTAGGACCTGCCATATCTGGGGTCTTAGGGATCTGGAGACCACACAAGCACAGAAGTCAGAGCAGGAGTTTGCAGGTGTCCCCAAAACAGGACCAGATGATCGAGTGGGGGGAGGGGCAGGCTGACAACAGGCAATAAGGCAGAAGCAGAGTCCAGACAGGCGACCAAGAGGTTTCAGAGTGGAAGCCCAGCCACGGTGACTGAACTTTAGACTACAGTCTCCAGGACTGGGGGTATCAAATGATGAATCCAAGGGCTAAGTCAGAAGCCAATTGGTAGAACAAGGCAGGTGCCAGGTCACAGGGAATGAGGTGAGAAACCAGGGGAACCAAAGTCAGAGGTTTCAGCTGAGCCTCTTGAGTTCCTGGCCTTGGGCTTCCTAACAACTCCAACCAAAGTCTCAGTCTTAGAAAGTGAGAGGAACATACAAGAATCAGAAAGCTGCCGCACAGTGGAAGGATGGAAGGATTTCAGGGACAAGAAGCCAAGCAGATCACAATGGCACACGGCATCCAGATCCACTCCTACCTAGTGGCCAAAGTGGATTCACTCCCAACCTGGAATAAAAATCCCACTGACCAAGCTCTGCTCTGCAACCCTGAAGGGGTTTTTATTGAATCACAGTACATAAAACACCAAAGGGGTCACCACGACAGCAGTGAACTCACAGCTGCAACAGAGCCTGGCTTGGGTGCCAAGCCGCCTCGCTAAGGTCGGCACCTCTGGGGAGTGACAGCGCAAGGAGAGGAAACTGTTCTCCAGTTCAGAGACCACGCTCTCTTCCAGCAAAATCAAACTTCCTACAAGTTAAATGTGCCCTCAGTGGGATTCATGGTCCATCCTGATAACAGGAAGGGTTAACGGAAGTGGGGGGCATCCAACCCAATGGCCCACATGGGGAGCGGGAAAGCAGACTGCCATGCCTTCTCCCTGGATACAGAGAGAAAGAAACCTATCACACGGCACAGCTTGGGGGTCCCAAGACCAGGGCTCCAAAGGAGAGGAATTTCAGAGGTGGAGCATAAGGGTGCCATGGACAGTGACCGTGGGGCTCCAGGCCACCAGCTGGCAGAAACGGGGCAAGTGGGTAGAGACATGATGGAAGAGTGAGGGGTGAAAAGACCCCTTGGCCACCACAAGGTCACACCGGGAAGGGAACAGTAAGTCCACTCAGTGTGGAGCAGGCAACAGCCAGCACAGCAGGGCCAACACCCAGCTGGCCAGCCTCAGCCCCTTCACACGCAGAATGAGTTCATGAAGGTTGATCTGCCATAAGTTGAAGGCCTCACTGAAAGAGATCTGGGTCCTCCTGAAGAATGAATGGGTATTCTTCTTCTTGTGCCTGCAGGAGGGGCAGGAAGGAGGGAGAGAACAGGAGATAAAGAGGGAAGAAATACTCAGTATCATTAGAAAAATGGAAGATGGTGGCTTTGCCAACTCACCAGCCCCCTGCCCCAGTGGACAACTCCTGGTTACGGATCAGACCACGGCCCAGTCAGGGACCAGAGGAACTCAGCTATTCCAAAGGCATCTTCCAGGTAAGTGGGGTCAGCAAAAGCAGTTGTTTCACAGCGTATCAAAGGTCTAGTGAACCCAGTGGGTAGCACATTCCAATGTTTCCCTTTTTCCAAAAGTATAGTTAATATTTATCAAATCAGAATCCCCCAAACCCAAACGTAAAAGCTTTCCCAAACTTTCTGAGGGTAAGAATCACTTAGAAACCTAATCAAGGTAGTCCTGGGAGGCTGGGGCCACTGTGGATTCAGCCCAGCTCAATCTCTTCTGCACCAACAAAAGGACATGATGAAAATTGGTGTTTATGATGACCACCTATTCCAGACTTGTTTCCTTTTTTTTTTTGGCTGTGCCGTGTGGCTTGCGGGATCTTAGTTCCCCGACAAGGGATTGAACCTGGGCCCCAGCAGTGAAAGCACCCAGTCCTAACCACTGGACCGCTCCGGGAACTCCCGAGACTTTGTTTCCTGAACCTCAGAGGAAGAATAAATCATGTTCGGCCCTTTCTGTATACAGTCTATTTTCCTGTAATCTAACACAGTATTTGATAGTGGGTGCATGATATATGTGGTCAACACTCCCTTCACCCATTTACCAGAATGACCCATTCACTGCCTAGAATGGATGGGCTCGGAGCTGACCACAGCCCAGGCCTGCCCCCTCAGGTGAGAACATTCAGCCAGAGCATGGGCCTTCCTGTGTATTTGCTACTGTCAGCTAGGAGAGCCTAGAACCCTCTTTCCTCTGTCACTAACACCCCCTGAGGAAGCACCCTTCCCTTCCTCATCAACACCTCAAGGGTGCTGAGACATCTAAAAAGACCTGAGATTCCGAGATGGCCTGCTGGTGACACTCTCGTGAGTCACAGCCACACCTGCAGGAAAAGAACACTGGCCTCACTGCCTGGCCGATGCTGGGGACACAGGCCCGGGACCAGCTAGAGATGGGATGTGAACCCGGGCATCCCAATCCCAAGTCCGGGGGACGCTTGAATGGGACTGAGATTTTCCGAAGACACTGTAAACTTTACTAAGAGTAAGAATCACCTGGAAAGCTTGCCCGGGAGGGTGAGGTCCTAGAATCCACAATTTTAACAAGTAGAGGTGGCTCTCTGGACCACCTTAAGACACAGCCCCGAGGCGTCAGCCAGGTCACTGGAGCTGTTTTCTACCCCTAACTTCCTGCAGGGAGAGCTGGAGATTGGGGAGCTCAGGCACGGCCCTGGGAACTGGTGGGAAAAACTGGAGGTGTGCAGACCCCTGGGGCTGGTCGGGGAGCTAGAGGGGAGGAGCGGCCAGATCCCACACTCACGCGGCCAGGGCCTTGATACAGCAACGTGACATGTTGAGGAAGGAGGTGGCGCTGGCGCGGGTGCCCAGGGCGGCCTCGATGCCCCGCAGCAGGTCGTTGGTCTTGAAGATGAGCAGCATCTGACGCGGCACGAGGTTGAGAAGGTGGCTGATCTGGGGGAGGTAGCTGGCCGCATTGTTGCGGATCTCTGAGTCCTGAAGCAGAGACAGGAGGACAAACAGACGGCTGGCATGGGAAGTGGGGCCCCGGGTGGCGGGCTGTCCGGGCAGCCTGTGACCTGAGGGGCTGCAAGGAAGCTCCGGGAGGGAGCGTCTAGCACAGCTGCCTCAGCAGCACTGGGAATCCTCCCGAAAGGGAAGCCTAGCCCAAGGGGCTTTGTAGCCGGACAAACCTGGATAGGACATCTCACCCAACTTCTAGCCAAGCACCGAACGCAGTACAGGAGCAGAAGCACATCAGCAGGA